ATATATATTCATTTTGTTTTATAAACCATCACTTTTAAAAATACCATCTGATAAATTGCTTTTAAGGAAACAATTTATTCATATTTTATTAATTAAAATTTGTTTTCTTTCTTTTGCGAAAAGATGAACTATCCACATCTTTATTTCATGCACATTATCTATTTTTTTTAAATTTATATCAATAAAATCGAGTTTGTGCTTGTTTCGTGGCATGTTTCGTATTTTCATGGGCTGTTACTTTTTAAAGGTGTTTTGCGTCACACGAAAAAAATGTCTTTATTCAATAATATAATCTTTTCCTAACTGTTGTGAGTTTGTAACTGTATTCGTGACTCTTAATTTAATTTAATTTAATTAACTCACGTTTATCCTAATTATCCTAATTATGAAAATGGCGAAATATGTCAGTACGAAGAAAAATCATAGTTTTGTAAAAATAAAAATGATTTATTATATAATTTTCTAATGTTTGAAAAATTACTCCAAAGTTGCTTTATCTAAGAAGAAAAAAATTCCAATTTCCAATTTCTTCGTTAATCTCTCTTTTCCTTTATCCTTTTTGTTTTTATTGTGTGTATATATATATTGTATATATATAAAAAAAATTGTATTATATTTTTATTATTTACATCATTTTGTTATAACGTATAATATAAATGCATATATATATATATGTATATATATATATATAAACCCAGTTTTTCCTTTGTGTTTTGATCCGAGATAATAGTGAAAAGGGTATCAAGCTCTTAGAATTAGTCCTACGGTTTCATATTTTTATGCGTTAACGCAGAGACACTATAACAAGGAACATTATTTAAATTTAACACTTTTTTTAAAGTAATAATGACAATAAAAAAAGTGTTTTATTCCTAAAAAGCTAATTAATTCACATTTTGCCTACTTGGTTTGTTTTGCACCAATTTGAAGATAAATAAATAAAATAAATAAATAAAAGGAAAAAAGTTTGTTTTGTAATTTACACCACTTTTCTGCACAAAAAAAAATTGACACGGTGTTCCATATAAATATACATCCATACAATCCACATATAAGAAACATTAAAATAAAATAAAGGTTGAAGGCAAGGGATAGAAGAAGATGAAGGAGATAGAGAAGTGAGGGTGGTGTGTGGGAGTGTAGAGGGAGAGGATTTGGCACAGGCAGTAGCAAATTACTTGCCTTTAGGGGGGTTGAAACGACGTAAGAGACTGAGATGAAGAGAGAGAGGGGGGGAGGGGAGTACGAAGAGAAAATGGAAAAAGAACTTCTTTAGCGGACACACACGTATTCGAAGGGAAAAAAAGAAGAAAACGAGAGCAGAGGAAAAAACTGTAACCGGGGCGTCTCTGATCGAAACTTCATCAGTGAGAAGCCCCTGAAAAGAATGTGCCACTGATTCAGTGAATGGATTCTGGGGGGAATGCCAGGGGCGGAGACTGGTGGCGAAAGGGGGGTGGAAAGCAGCAAAAAGAGAAGGTAGGAATATAAAAGAGGGGGTATCGGATTTTTGTGGCGCCTGAATCAGGCCCGATAAAAGCAACGGAATGGGCCCGCTGTGGAAGCGGGGGGGATGCATTGGGAACTGGAGTTTTCCAACGTCATTTGCAGTACAGATTCAAAGAATGAAAGATTCGGGGGATGGGGGGGATTCACATAGATGTGTGAGCGTGTGGATGTGTATAGATATATTACATACATGTGCGCTGAAATAAAAAAAAAATCGCAGATAGTACTCGAAGATGAGTATAGGTGCGCGAGAGGACCAAGAAATCAAGGATGGACATATTCGGAGTTGGGGGTGCCCGAGGACAGATTCGTCTGTCGAATTATTTTTTTTTTCTTCTCTCCTCTCCATCCTCCTTCGATTTCGATCTGCCGGACAAAAGGGTGGCCAATGATAGGGGTGGGGGTGTATTGCGCATGCTCAGAAGCGGTTACAGAGTTCTTTTACTTCTCCTTTTATCGCGAGCCGCCATCGGTCGTCAGTAATTGGTGAAATGAACACTTTTCAAAAGAGAGGCTTATATATAGGACGTTTCATAGAAGGCAGACAACAAGGAGAGAAGCATCCCTTAAAAGGAAAGAGATTTCGGGAAAAGCATCTCCTTTTGCTGGGTGTAGTGCCCCCTCCTTTTCATTGTGTAGTCTCATAGAATTTCTCTCTCTTTATCTTTTGCGTACTAGTGGCGGTTTTGAAGAGCGAGAGACGATTCTATACAGAAACTGCCTTTTCAAAAGCACACACTTCTCACATTGAAAAGAGCGCGCGCTTCGTTCGGGGGGCTCCACACTGAAAAGGAATTTTTAGGCTATTATTCCCCCTGTAGTACCCGTCTTCCACCCCTTTTCCCTTTTACTCTTTTCAAAAATATTGTGCGGAATTTTGTAAGGAAGGAACATTCCTTATCGGGTTGCATATTGTATTGTCTCAAAAGAGTCCTTCGATATCAGAGCCCACAATTCTCAGAAATAAAAGCGTCGGCGGCTCGCGCACATCGTCTCTCGGCCACTCCTGTCACAACTTCCACCGATCCCGAGACGGTGACTCTCCGCCTGGATTTTTGCCGTATCCTCGCGTCACCCATCTCGGCTTCCTATCTCAAAAACTGATGTTTTGGATCTTATTTTTTAACGCATCCCGGTTGTCCGAGTGGTAAGTACAACGTTCATACCTTTTTGAACTCCGTTCGACTGCGGTTACGCACAATGGATCATGTACCAAATCACGTGACTTCAGGAAGGCTATATCATGGGGATCTGATATGGTAGAACTAGCATTGGGGACCAGTGACTGGGGGGAGGGGGCTCGATTTGCCAGATTTCAGACTACAGGACCCCTCCCTGCATCCGTGATAGTCAATCCAAGACTAAAAGTCGAAGTGTGTATTTATAAAGTATTCATAGTAGGACTAAATTCTAGATTTGCAACCCATGCAATTTATGCGTGTGCATAAAAAATCCAGACTTAAGTCTTTTTTTTTTGTATCCTAACAACTCATCATTTTAATTCCCATATCCCATTATCAATCCCTCTGTACGATGCTCCGAACACAAAGCATTTGGATTTATTCTAAGTTTGCATAATACAAAGTTTGAATGGATGTTTGAAGATTTTAATTTTGTTTATTTATTTTAATTGCCAACTTTTTATGAGATAATGTTGATATGAATTGATACCCCAGTTTACGAAAAGCGTGATATGAAACAAAATCGAATATTAGAATTGCAATTGGTAAACAAAGAACTATATTCTATTGCAAGTTTAAAAAATAAAATGCCTGTTTGCATCTGCACGCAAAATTTTAGCTCCCATCGCGAACGTATATCAACATAGCCAACTCTTTAATCTACATTACACAGCCTCTTTTTTGCTTATTTCTTTATTAATAACAATAATCAATTAACAACTGAAAAGAATTTATAAAATTATAATAAAAATCGAACACGTCTTTTTTTAAAGGAATTGATGAATATTGTTTCTTGCAGACGATTTTCCTCTATACCGGAACAAAAGTAAAATCATTCTTTATCTCGTATTTGATTTGTTAAGGACATGTCAGCATAAAACGCGTCATTTTTAGTGGTCTAATGAAATTCAATGCTCTTACAACGTCATATAGTTGTTTCTTTTCTAAGAACGATCTCCCTGTTTACAGAAACCAAATATGTCACCAAATCTAGGATTCCAGTAAGCTAACAAAACTATAACCCTTTTTTAATAATTCAATGATATATATCGTCAAAGACAGCACGAATTAAATTTTTGTTCGACGAGTTTAACTTTTAAAAGCGCCTATGTTTCAAAAGTATTTTTCTATAATTTAATGACAAAATAAAACGGAACTATATACAGTCGTATAGGATTTAATGATTACTTAAGTCCTATACCGTAATGGTCTTTTCTTAACTTGCAACGAAGTATAAGACTAGTAATTGAGACCATAATAGCTGCTGTATGTCAATAAACTTTCCCTTCGGGACCGTGTTTGAATCGATAATAGGACATACAAATATTATTTCTTTGGTCTGCTAAATATTCAAATTTTAATTATTTATTAGACATTATTTATCAGAATTTAAGTATTTATTAAACAAGTTCCGGTCTTAAATTGTTTTTATTTACTTTGCTGCATTACTATTTAATTTATAAATGGATTTAAAATCTTGAAAAAAAATTTTTATAGCCAAGTCGTGCTTTTAAAATTGTACACATCTGTTAATATTTTGCTTTCTGATTACAAAAGATTTATTATTTGTTTACAATAAAAATAAATTTGTTTTCATTTTTTAAACAGTGTTTTTTTTAAAACAAAATTAAGAATCACTAATGCTTAAATTGCATTTTGTTCTCTTATTATTACTTTTTAATTTTATTTTCATTTATTTTTTAATTTATTTGTGTATATACGTTGGGTGTTATTATGGCAAAATTTAGAATCCTTAACAAGACTTAATTTAAAATAAAGCATTTAGGACTATCATAATTAGCAAGAGAAATGAAAATCTAAAGTACGAAGAGAAAATGGAAAAAGAACTTCTTTAGCGGACACACACGTATTCGAAGGGAAAAAAAGAAGAAAACGAGAGCAGAGGAAAAAACTGTAACCGGGGCGTCTCTGATCGAAACTTCATCAGTGAGAAGCNATATAATTTTTTTGACAAGGATTCTATAATTATGTATTCGAATTCTGATTGCCAGACACTCTACCCTTCAAAAAAAATTTCTGAAATTTTAAAAGGAAACAGAAAATTATACCTGTGAAGTTTTAAAAAATTATCTTTTGTAGTTTATTTGTTTATTATGCTAATTAGTTTACTATGATAAGTTGTTTATAATGCAAATTAACTAATTATTATGTAGTTTCTAAAGCTAATAAAATTTTAAAAATTTGAAAAAGAATACCAAATATATTTTCAGAATTAATTAATTTGAAATTTCAGTGTGAGTTAAAAATTTAATCGTCAAATCGAATTTAATTGTCGATTAAGAATCGAATTTATTTGTTAACTGTTGAAAATTTAATTGTCAAATCGAACAGAAGTTATGGTGATTTTATAAAAAAAAAAAACCGTCTATATAAGTTATTAAATTGATAATTGTGTCTTTTTTTACCTTTTTCTCAAAACTAATTTTTTAAGTTATTTTGTTTTATTCTAAATGCAGTATCTTAAAATAATTTAGTTATTTAGTAATTATGCAAATTACTTAAAATTTTGCATGAATATTTTATATACATAAATTTAGGAAATAGATTACTGACTAGTGGATTAAAGTATTATTTTATATTTTACAGTTATATTAAAAATAGTTAACTGCAATTTCTCGCCTAGTCTATTCCCCAAGTTGAGTTTTTTAAGAGCGTTATAAAACAAAAATAATGGAATTATAATAATTTTTTACAAAGTTATGTGATTTAGAAAAAAGGTCACTTCTTAGCCTTTTTTACCAGATTTATCTTATATTTTTTTTTAAAAAATATCTCCTTCGTACTTTTTTGCATCCATACCATGTTTTAGTGTCACACATACACACAAAAATCGACATAAAACTTCTAAATTAAAAATTTTTAAAATTTTGCATTCTAAGGTACCTTAAGGATTACTTAGGGATAAAGGATCACTTAAGATCCCTTATCCTTAAGGATTACTTAGGGGTTTGCTCAGGTTACCTGAAGGGTACTTTAAATCTGCATTGTGGGTGATAAGTGTCGTGATCATAAAGACAATAAATGAATAAGCATTTTTATTTAAATTTATAATATTTTTAATAGTTTTTTACGAACTAAAACATTTTAAATTTGCTCTTGTTTTCATTGATTCATTTATTTTATTTTAACCATTCCGTAAGAACAACTCGATGACAATCTTTATCTTATTTAACCTCATAAGAAAAAGAAAAAAATCACGTAATAGAATTTTAAAGTAATTTTTAACTCTTTCTCCTCTAGAAATGAGGCGGAAAAAAAGCATTATTCATCGGAATACATACTTATTACCTCCAATGATTAGATAAATGCCATTACATGTCAAAAATTATGAATTTGCCTGTTTTTAAAAGAGCTATCTGAAGTGGAAAATATCTTTAGCGAAAGAGGGAAACATAAAATACTCATTATGTTCGTTAATATCGTTTCCCAAATTGGATTACTCCAAGACAGATCATCACAATCAACATCGTTGGTAAAAGGGGTAACTGGAATAATTGGTCTATAAAGTTCGTAACCGCTTTTCCCTGATTTTGAAAATGGGGAATGGTTTCTAAGGGGCTTTTAATGGGTCGAAAAGGGATAATGATACCTCATGGCCAATGATCCCACAATAGTTCATGCTTTGATTTAACATGGGGGATTGATGGAGTGCTCCCTTATTTCACCAGGGAAAAAAATTCTCCCCCGTACTATTAATGACCTCGAATACTTAAAGTGGATTTTTGCTTTTACCACCACGCGCTTTATGAAAGTTTAAAATGATTTCACAGGGAGCTTAAATGACCCGTAGCAGAATGTAGTCTTTAACTTTTGTGGTTTTAAATGAAGATACTGTTGTGAATGTTGTAGATTTAGGATGTTTTCTGACGAAAAAAAAAATAACCAGCAAAAATGTTCTTGAATTTAAAATTGTAAACGTTCTTAAAAATAAAACTCCTCTCGCTTTTGACAATTCAACAATCGATCAGGTGTATTTCGTTGACTTTGAGAATCATTTCGTCGCGAAATCACGTGATTTGTGAACCGTCAAGTATTATATGAAAATGTTTCATCAACTCGTAGCCTCAGCGTTGCTCATTGCGGGAGATTGTTAACTAGAATGACGAATCTAGGATGAAGACTAGACGATAAAAAAGAAAGAAGCGAAATAAGCCAATCGACCAGTATGGTGGTCGAGTTGCAGGCAGATCCCGGGTTCGAATCCCGTTTCGGGCATAGGTGTAATTTATTTCTTTGTTCTATGTATCACGCTTGTGTTAGGATATTCTTTATGGCACTCACGATAAAGGGATTATTATAAAAAGTTAAATACATTAGAGCATTACGATTTCTTTTTTTATTTATTTTTTTTAAAAAAAAATAAGTTGACGAAATATTTCTTCAACTGTGACAAAATTTATTTCCTCAAAGAAGTGTCGATAGTTATTTCGTCACTTTAATGAAATTCTGATCATATACGAGATGGGGTTTCGTCAAAAACAAACAAGGTTTCGTAATAATTTAATATTAATTTTTCCACAGTGAAGCACGATACTTACTTGAAACAATTCATATTGCTGAAAATATCATATTTTACAAAAACAGAAAGAAAACAGGGGCAGAAGCTAAAAAACTAGAAACGTAGACTAAAAAACTAAAAACGGCAAAATAATTTTTTTTCTGCTACTTAAAAAGAGAAATGTTTTTTTTTTTTTTAATATAAATAAACTAAGACAGATTTACCACAAAGGGCAAATCTTCCTTGATAATTTCTTGAATAAAACAATAGGTAAAGCAATTGTTTCCCTATAAATAGTTATCTTTTCCATTGTCTGAAACACATATTGAAATTGAAATTAAAAAGTATGGTAGTCTATGCTGAGTTGGAACAATTCAGGATGCTTAAAATACTATGTTTTGTAAACAGAGCAAGAAAAGCGAGACAATAGCTAAAAGAAAAGTAAAA